CCCCGGCCCACCCTCCAGCTCGCAGGCTCACTCAGCTCCCACCCGGCCCACCCTCCAGCTCGCAGGCTCACTCAGCTCCCACCCGGCCCACCCTCCAGCTCGCAGGCTCACTCAGCTCCCCGCTGTCGTAACGTTTTAAGTTTCCGCTTTATCGATAACACGGAGGTGAGCAGGCCCTGTTCTCACCTATCACTTTTCTACAAATCTCAGGTTGCCATAGCAACAACAGTCAGCGCCACAGCCCAGTGGGAAATATCAGGCCAGGCCCGCTTCCCTCTGCGCCATCCCGCCACCCTTCCACAGGGCCCAGTCCTGGAAGGTGTGCAGCCTCTCCCGCCGCGGCAGCCTGAAGACGGCCCGGAACAGCTCGCTCTGCGCCCGGGCTTCCAGGTCCCTGGGGATGAGGAAGGGAGTAAACTGAGGCAGGGCAGTGCCTGAGCCCCGGATCCCCACGGCGCACACTCACACCCATGTGCAGCCTTCGTGGACGTGGCTGCAGGAAGGTGCCGCCCGGCCCGCAGGCGAGTGGGCGCCTCTGACCAGAGTCAGGGAAGGACTCAGAGACCCGCACGTTCCTCTCGGCCCGACAACACCGGGAGTCACCACAAACCGACCGTGTGACAGCCGGTCTCTAAAGGGCTGACTCTCGCAGCGCCGAGTGGTGGGCCCGGCTCCTCAGAGGGTTGGGCCTGGAGCCGAGGGCCCAGCGGCTGCGCCGGTGCCAAACGGAACACGTGCCACGGGAACTTACGCACCCGTCCCAGCACCGTCACCCATCGCAGCCCAACGCTGGGACCACCCGAACCATAACTGACAAACGGGTAAAATGTGACACAGCCGCACAACGAAACGTCATTCAGCCACAAAAAGGGACCAAGTGCTGGCACCGCTACATGCACAAACCCCGAGAAACGCTAAGGTAAAGAAGCCCGGACAAAACACCACACACGGCCTGATCCCTTTCTATGAAGTTTCCAGAATAAGCCAATCTATAAAGACAGAGACTAGCCTGGTGACTGCCCACAGGGGGGGCGGGGGAGGGGGGGCG